AACAGTTAAAAAAATGTTAAATAAATAATGATTTGTTTTTTCGTCAATGTCAGCCTAATTTTTTTCAAGAAATGGTTTGTTAAATTTTTCATTAAAAAAATTACATTTGACTTTTGTCAATGCAAAATAAATGGCGACTTAATTCTAATTAGTTTAATAATTGAACTAAATTTTCATTTCGCTTTCTGTAAACCGGCTCCTAAAGGAATTTATCTTGAAACTACGTCAAGTTTGCAATCTGTTAATTTACGATCTTGCCTGCTTGCGGTTAGAAGGGTCGGCATCCACAGCAGGGGCTGGTTTATTGAAGCGTCATTTTCACTTTGTTCGACTGTACCTTACCCTACATAGCATTTTTCTTTGGGGCGCGAGTTCTGGCGCACTCTGTATGTGCATATCATGTAGGACGTGACTCCTTCAACTTTTAGAATCGCGATATCTCAGGAAAGGTGATTCTTAGAAAAAAAAGTATAAGGACCATTTTTGTAGATAATTTTGACTTTTGACCCCGAATAACTTTTTTGACACTTTATTCCTAATGGTGTACTCAAGATCTCCACCAAAATTTAGCTCTGTCGGAATTTTCGTTATTCGACCACTATTTTTATGACTAATTTGATCGGACTACAAACTCAATTTTTTTTTCAGTTGATTGAAACAAAAAAAATCGCTTTGGTACTTTTTTATTTCGTGTTGAGATGAACAACTTCAACTTAAACTTAATAGTGCCCATAAATGGGTTCGGCGAGGTACGGCTTCACCGGAACAATGTAAGGTTTCTTGTAGACAACCGGAACCGGATGTACTGCATGTCCTTCCTTGCTCACAACCGCATTGAACCCATTAAGATCATCGGCTGTGTACTTAACCACCCTGATGGTACCATCAGGTTCGGCAAGCGAATATGAACCTTTGACTACATCACCTTCACGGATTTCTTCTTGGGCTTTATGGTCGCCGGTGTGGGGGTCATGCACTCCGTAACTGTATTGGTACTTGGGGTACGCCTAAAGTACCATTGAGTTTATGGCAGTTGGGAAGGGTTTGGTACTTACGTAGCCGCCTTCATATAAAGGTGCTTTTTCGTAGAGTGGTACTATTGGTTTTTCATATAGCGGTAGTGGTACTATCGGTTTTTCATACAGCGGTACTTCTGCTTTCCCGTAGATTGGTACTATTGGTTTTCCATATAGGGCTTTTCCGTACAGTGGCACTGCTGGTACCACGGCTTTCTCATAGATCGGTACTGTTTCTTTTTCCACGAACGAAGTGGCTTCTTCAGGGTACTTGAGATACAAGGCTTCAGAAACACAAGCACAAGCTAAGAGAAATATTGAGACCTGCAAAAATTGTTGATTTCGAGAGGAAAAGTACTTTTTGGTACTCACTTTAACGGCGCACATTTTGATCGGTACTGCCAGCTTGAATTTTTCTTTCGATATTTATAAGAATCTGAGCATTGTGAGAGACCTCGAGTTATTAGTTTTTATACGAATTTTTATAACAAACAGTACATTGCCAAGTGCTTGTTTCTTAATTTAATGTTTTGTAAAACCGAGTCAATTGTTGACCTAATAGTTGTTAAGGTTATGGTAAAGAGACTTTCTTTGTAGTTTTCACGGTAAAGAGATCAATTTTATGCAATAATTTGGTTAATTATCATACATTAATAACCTGATTATTTAATAAGTAGTCGATTTGTAGAGTAATTAGATTGGAGTAAATGTCTGAATGTAACCTTCACGGTTAGTCGTTATGGTCTGATGTTTTGGTTCCTAGTAAAGTAGGGTTTAGAATTTGAAAAAATTGACCTTTAAAATATAAAAGTTTTGTTATTGTTATATTCCTAAAGCAATAACACATATAAAATTACGTTATGCAGTATATATAAAAAAAATGGTATTTTACTAAACTATTATTAAATAAAGAAGTAAATTAATGAATTGTCATATTGCGTTTTGTGGTCTTTGATTGCCATTTTAATTTTTCAGGACTGTTGTCTTTTTCAGATTTTAAATTAGCCCCATGTGCAAGTAAAATATTAAGACATTTAGTATAACTTTTATCAATAGCAGCTATTAACAAAGGCTCAGTGCTTTTTTTTATAATTTCTATATAGGGATTATCATTTGAATTTGATAACATTTTTTCTAAACAATTAACACTATTATACCAAACTGCTAAATACAAAAGAGAAGCATTAAAATGCATGCTTTTGACAAGAGGAATTTCTTCAAAGTTATCAAATACATTGGCGCAGTCTAGCCTTATAGCGTAATATAAGATGGAAAAAACATAACTTTCGAAATTACCTATCTCTTTTTTATATTTCTCTAAGTCAATTTTACTTTTATTTTGTAATAACGCAAATGATAGAAAACAATGTGCTTCACAAGAGTAACCAAACGCGTCTAAATTAAACAGCTTATCTTTCTCTAAAGGGTCACAAATATTTTGTACACTTTTTAAAATATTAATGTTTTCGGATGAGTTGTCTTTCAAGTTGTGCCAAAACATAATTTTGTCATCAATTTCAAAAACATCTGAATTTTTAACTCTTAAAGGCAAAAATGTTTGGCCCCACGAGCAGGCCAAATGCAACAAATTTCGACCACCTTCGTCTTTTGCTTGACTGAGTGCTTGACGATCTGTGCGAATATATCGCTCCAAAAGATTTTTATTTTTATACAAAACTGCAATGTGTGGTGTAGAATTTTTCGCTAAAATTAAATCAAAAAAATACCGAACACCCCGATTGTTAAAAATTACATCACGGAACTCGTTGATGCGGTGTAAATTTTTGACTAAGTAAGACGCTGTAAAATATTCCTGAAATGACGAATGAAAAAATTCTGGTTTATTATCTGGTGTTATTCTTAATATAATTCCGAACTCATCTTTTTTAGATGTAAGTTTTGTCAGAAAATTTGAAACATGAAATTCATTTGTTTCAATGTCTACATACATTTTTGCGGCAATTTTTTCATAAATATCAATTTGTGTAGCCTTTGATTCCAGAAAGATTTGATGTTCGACGTCATTTTTAGGGTATAACTCTTTATCTTTAAACACAAAATCTAATTTTGTATTAACAAAGTGTTCAAACAAAACTGTTACTGTAAACGTTTCTTCAAATAAAAAACTATATTTTTTTGAATCTTGGAGTAACAACTCTGTCAATATAAACATTTGCAAAGGAATTCCTAAGAATTCATTATTCCAAAGTAATTGTATATTTTTTCTGTTTTGCAATAGTGATTGACGTAAACTTTCTGATGTATATTTAACACGACTTTGAATATAGTCTTCTTGGTCTTTTTCATTAAAAGTTTTTATTGTTCTCGAACAAACATTGAATTCGGTTTCAAGTTTATATTTTAAATTGGTTCGCGCTGTTATCCACTGCTGGAAGTTTTGTTGAGAAAGTTCTGAAATAATATGAATTATGTACTCAAGATTTTTGTCAGAAACTTCATCTAGACCATCCCAAATAAGTCTGACACGTTTCTTTTTCATAAATGACTCTAAAATATTTGAGTGAATATTGGAACTTGTTTGTTGCACAATATACTCTTTAAATTCTCGTATATTGTCTTTGTTTTTCAGAAAATATGTAAAAAGGTTCCTTGCTGTTATAAAAATGGTCCAATATTCAGGCGAACCACTATAATTTTTGGCACTTTTCATCAAAGAAGTTTTACCAATTCCTGGCTCATCACAAATGATATTAATGTTATTGTCTTGTTCATAGACAAATAAATCTTTTTCTGAAATAAAATATTGACCCGGTAATTGAAATTTAGAAATGTCGTTGATACTCTTGCTACTTTTTACCCACTCTAATCCGTCATTGGGGTCGAGTCTAAGTTGATGACATTCATATTTTTTATCAAGATTACAAATTTTTTCAAACTGGTCGTGGGAACACTCCATTTCACTTATAAAAATTGTTTTGTTTTTTGCACTTTTCTTAGATAATTCCTCTTTGTTAATGTTAAATAATTTGAATTTTGAAATTGTGTCTTTAATTACATCATTATTTTCCTTGTAGCAACTTATAAGTATGCGAGTGTTCTCATCACAGTTGTTCAGAAAATCTGGATGTATAATAATTTTTTGTAAAAATCGTGTGATATACGAAGGTGGTAAGACCTCGGCTGGTTCACCAATTTCAAATGTTTGTTTTATCATTGACATAAGATCACTTGGACTTAGACATTTTGCTACATTTTCGTAGTTACTTACAAGCGTTTCCAACAAAATTGTTCTGTTTTGTAATTTACAACTAAGGTGTCTCAAAATGTTGCTATAAATTTCATGTGATTTATATTTTAAAATATTCACGTTTTCAAATGTATCAAATCCACGATACGATATTGGATTAAATAAAATAAAACTTACATTTGCATGTTCACACAATTTTATTGCATCTAAAGCGTTTTTTTGATTGTCGATCATTAATGGAATTTTACCTAAATGCCATAACAATTTTGTCAACTCTTCATTGCTTAAATCATTTAGATCTATTTTGGAACAAATTTGATAACAATTTAGGTTCGTTTTAAGATTTTTTGAAGATAACAACTCGGACTTTGCATCTTGCCACATTGAGTTTATTTCATGACAATAATCTTTATTAATTACTGTTACTTTAAACAAACAAATTGCTTGTTTAAGCAAATTTAGTCTTTTACTAATTTCACCTGTCTTATTAAAGGAATAAAAATGTATATAGGGTGTTAACAAGTGTTCAGCAATAACTTGCTGTATTAATGTTTTGTTGAGTTTATTTTTCAAACCAGCGTTTTCACTCCATTGCGAAATAAAGTTTAAATATTTTTGAAACGCTTCATTATCATTAGATATATTTTGTTGAAATGTTTGCCACAAATTGTTTCGAAGTTTGGAAACATCCATTTGATCTGTTATAAGAAAAAAATTTTGAAAAAATTCAATATATTTTCTTATGTTGTCTGAATTTGATGGTGTTTCCACTTCGAATTTGTAACAATTACATTCTTCGTTGTTATTTCTCTTGAATAAAAGAGCCGATAGATCTATTTTGCATCTTTTAATTCTTACAATTATTTCACCACTTTCATCGTAAACAGTAATTTTTTCATTATCTTTGCAATTAAATTTTCGATTTGTACACAGAACTGCTGTAAAATTTTCTAATTTATTTTTTAGCTTTTGGTACTCTTTACAATATTTGGGCAAACTGAAATTTCCACTGTTTTCTTTACCTTGACTTTTTTTTCCAGTAAGACTATTTTTTGAGAGTACATTATGTTTATTGGAATATTTTAATTGCATTAAGTATGTACGAATCGGAAACTCTGAAGACTCTGTAGTGAAAACTACGTCATCGAAAATGCCAAAATCTGTATCATTAGAAGAAAGGTGAAAATTTTTAATTTTCTCATCACAAACAAAATTTAATATTAAATCGGCTGCAGTTAAATCTTCAAACGTACGTCCTAAGTCATTTGTTTCAGGTTTCTTTTTAAAAAACTAAAAGAAAATAAAAATATGTCATGAAGCATTTGTAATATGGCGTGATTTAAAGTAAAAAATTTCTGCTCTGTTATAAAGTTAAACTTACCCTTTTGTTAATGCGTATTTTTTGAAAGTCGGTTGTACCACTGCTGTTATCAAACTTGTTAACAGTGTTTTCATTTTTCTGAAAATTTTGATTATTTGTTAACAATACTGGAGTTATAATCTGAAATAAATTAAAAAACTTCAAAGTAGTAGTTGGTGATTAGTGAGCCTCTTGAGTTGTATTTAGAATTCAAAAAAAGACCCTTCATCTTTATTATTATTATTAAAATTAGAACTTACTTCACCTGACGATTTCTTTTTTCGGTTATCATTTTCCTTGTTCTTGTTCTGTGATTTATCAAAGTATCTATTAGCAAGAAAGGAAGGCTGAGGTTTTGTAATTTCTTGTTCGTTATCATTTTTTGCCTGCAAATTTAGAAAAATTCGCATTTTTAACGCATTTATTTTTGTGAAACGGCAAATAAAATAATGAATTTATAACGTTAGAGTAATATTAGTAATAATTAATAATAAATTAGGCTATGGTTTACTAAATTACGGTAAATATCGTATAAAAAACTGAGTTACCTTATTTTGAAATCCTTTGTTTTCGACTTTTTTATCTTTGTTTTTAATTTCTAAATAATAAGTGCTTTTGTTGATAGGCAAGTTATTATTATCGAATGATTGTCCTCCTTTATTTGGTAGACCCGATGGACTGGTGCTAAGAGTCTATAATTAAAAAAAATATATTTTATTTTTTCACAATTTATTTAGATTACCTACCCTATAAATATTATTAACTTTTTTTGGCGCTTTATGGTTTACGTTTGTTGTTTTCGAGCCATCAATTAGTTGTGCTTGTTTCTGTGTCTAAAAATTGTTTATTTTTTACACTGCAGTATTTTTTTGAACAAACTGCGAGTAATTATTTTTAAACTTACCTCTTTACAATCGTAATCACCTAGATGTAAAGTTCTTGGAAGAGTGTTTCTGTTTGTGTAACTAAAGGAGTTGGAATTATCATTTTCTTTTTTCTCTTTAGTATTTTGAGATAAAACTTTTGATTGCAGTACATCATATTTCTTGTGCTTCTGTGTGAAAATAAAATAAATAATAATAATAAAAATAAATACACCTAGTTTAGAAATGTGTTTTGTAAACTACGTACATTTTCAAGATAACTGTCATTAGTTGAAGATAAATTTTCAAAGAAACTTCGGTTTTTCTGTACCTGGTTTTTCTATAAAATAAGTAACTTAACTAATTGTGCAGATATATATGGTAAAATCTCACATTTATTAAGGGTATTCTCATTCTAGCTTCTTGCACATGCTTCTTTTCTCTCGGGGCGTGCGTAATTGAATTTTCAAAAAGACTGCGTAAATTGTGTACCGAATTCTAAAAAAGTTGTGTATATTTTTAATAACTGTTTTAAAAAAAGCAGTTTCGTTTTTTTTTGTACATTTTGTTAAATAAATTTGTAACGAATTTAGTTCCTATTTCTATGAGAAAAAACTTACCTCTCTGTTAATAATAGGATTTTGCCAAATATTACTATATATTTGAAGGTCCTTTAAACTGCGGTTTCGATGTAAAGATGTGTTACTTGGTGTATTTTCATAATTTGTGCGCGGTATATATACAGAGCGACTCTTAAAATAAAATTAATTGCTTGAATTTATTATATTTTTTTTATATTTTTCACTTTTTTTGTTACTTGACTCTGGTACACATACCTTATTCCTATTCAGTTTATTTTCATAATCGTTTTGGTTTATTGTTGTGCTATTAAAAGAGTTCCTGTTTGGTGAATAACCATCGTTTACAACAGTTGAATGCTGGTGGTGGCGGTAAACGATATCTTCAAAGTTTTCAGAATTTTCTGATTTGTCTAAATCGATAATTTGATTAAACAATTTTGTACTTACAGTTTAAACTAAATTAATGAAATAAATGCATAATAAGTGTATACTTACACATATTTTCTCATTCATCTCTGTAACATGTATGTACGAGTATATAGTGAATGTTTTATACTTACGTACGATATACAGATACATTTTTTTTTTTAATAAAACTCTGATAATTTTTTTGATAATCGTAAAATCTTGATAACAATTTTCAATTCATTGTTGTAATTCATTTATCAATCTTGATTATACACATACAATAGCTTTAAGCCATAGCAACATTATTTTTAAAGATATGACAAAACTTTTTGTACTACGAAGTTAGACAATTTATTGTTATATCTTATATCTATTTTTTGGGATACATGCTTAATCAATTGAAGACGATCACAATACACTGTTCAACCTTGTTTAAAAATAAAGAAGTTGTGGCATGTTATTTTGTGAATCAGTGCATTTTTGGAACTAGTATTAATTTTTTTGTCCTTTATTAATTTTTGCCATAATCGAAAGCAGTCATGCATTGACTTTTATGTTCAAATTTTTCTAAAGGGGCTAACCAAGATTAGGGTAGACTGGGTACGGTTGAAACAATTTAGCTTATATCGTCCATAGCATAGCATAATACCGGTTGTCCCAGGCAGGTTTGGATATAGGAAATTAACATGGGAAAGTAGTTTTTATTAGTTTTATTAATGGGTTTTTTATAACAGAAATGAAAATCTGATTTATGGAGCTTGTAGTTCTCGAAAAGGGCTGTCTTATCAACATTTTTGTCGATTTTGCAATTAACTCCATTTGGGTAAAAATGCCCTCGAAAAATCGAGGGTAACGCTAACCAGGCAAATTCAAATTTCGATTTTTCGAGGGCCGTTTTCGCTCCAATGGAAATTAATTGGAAAATTGACAAAAGTGTCAATAAGATAGCCCTTTTCGACCACTACAAGCTCCTTCAATCAGATTTTTATTTCTGTTACTTCTGCAGCCGGAAAAAAATAAAAACTAATTTTCCATGTTAATTTCCTATATCCAAGCCTGCCTGGGACACCCGGTATATTGTTTCAACCGAACCCAGAAAAAATGTTTTACCCGTCCCCAACCCCTCCCAAACTCTCACTTTAATAAAAGTCTAACTACAATTAGAATAACATTTTTCCAAATTTCTTTTTAATGGCAACCCATTATAATAATTTTTTTAATTAAAGATTATCATTTAAAAAGTACCTCTAATAAAATAAAATTGTTTTTTAATCAGTATTTTTTTTGTAATAAATTGTTAAAGTTGCGTTCCGTGCTCATCACGAAGATTTTCCGAACTTAACCGAAGTGGTCGTTTCATGCATTTGATCATGGGAGATCCCTGATTTCTATGCAGGTATGTACTTTGGAGTGGTTTCGAATGGACTAAAAATAGAAGAAATTGAGTTCCTATTGGATTTTTTGATCCATGTGGGACCACCTCAAAGCACCTGCACAAAAAACCGGGCTTTCCAAGGATCAAATGCTTGAAACGACCCCTTCGGTTAAGTTCAAAAAATGAGCTCGGAACGCAACTTTAACAATTTATTTAAAAAAAAGTACTAGCTAAAAAACAATTTTATTTAATTTGAGGTCATTTTTAGATCATAATCTTCAATTAAAAAAATTATCGTGTTGGGTTGTCGTAAATTGTTTACATAATCTTCCGGAAAACATGATTTGAGGGAATTCTTTTTTCCGGGTATCTTATGGCATATGACATCATAATTCCCGCCGCCAGGGTTGGGTAGCAATATTGTTACAATTTGCTACGTGTCGCAAATATGCTCGTTTTTGGTACATTTGTTCCATTTGCCACATGTTATAATAAAAAGTGATATTCAAATAAACAACTTTATGAAAAAGTGGAAACATAAATTCAAATTTCCAAAAAAAAAACAACTTTAGTCAAAATTTAGTATTTATGTATACCTCTAAGGTACCAAATTATTGAAATTAAATAAAGATATTGTTTAGATAAAAAATGATCTTATTAAGATAAGAGGATTTTTACAATAATAAATAACTTATAATAATGGCACTTTATCGGAAACAATTAATACAATTAATTTGGAGTATTGATTGTTCACTTGGTATTCCCAATAAAAATAAATAAAAAACTTATCTTTTATTTTGTTTCGTCACATACATATGTAGTGTTATTTTTATTTTTTATTGTGTTATTTCATTAAGTTTAATGATAATAATAAGACTTTTATTAAAAAATAAATAAATAAATAAAAAATAATGATACTGCAGGGCGAAGCTTAGTTGAAAGCTATTTAACTTAACCCAAAAAATAACAAAAATTACAATAAAGACATGAAAAAAAACAAATGAAGGTAAAGTAATAAACAGTGGAAATTGGAAAACAAACATACAGGGTGCGCCACAACTCGCGCTCCAGTGAAAAAGGTAAGATACCAGGAACATGAAAAAAATGTAAAAAAAATTATCTATAAAAATTTCGAAGTTATGAGAGTTAAAATTTTGCACTTTGACTCTATTTATTTCTGTTGGAAAAATAATTTTACAATTTTTTTTTGCTACAGGTTATTAGAAGAAGAAACAAAGAAGCTGTATCCTAAATTGTAACTCTATTTAATGTTATTTGTGGCTTTTATTGGCAAAATTTACTCATATAATATAAGTTAAAAAGACAAACCTTAAAACGAAAGAAAATATAGAATCTACCAAATATTATGAACAAAAACACGATTAAACCCGTCACACCAAACTTTTATTTCAAACACAACGCGTTTCAACCACAAAGTGGTCATTCTCAGGTGAAAATAAAAACCTGAGGATTCAGATTGACTTCTACTCGATTTGGGAAGATTATATTTTTTTAAACTTCAGGTTTTTCCTGAAATGTTTAATTTTGTTAATTACAAAAAACATAACTGTTAACAAGATCTACTTTATTTTTTAGATCCGAGGTCATTTTTTTAATCTGATTTTGATAAACTGGCTTTTAAATTAAAAAAAAATGTAAAATTGTTTTTTTATATTAAGTGCGCAAAACGACTGTTTCACACACATTATTTAAAGTATATTATTCTAGGAGCATATTCACAATAGGAAAGTTTAAAAAACGAGTCGCAGACGAGATTTATAATTATGATAAATACCGGGTGTAATTTATCATAATGGATGGACTTATAGTATACAAGGTGATTCGTTTAGAGCCTACATTACAAACTTTTTAACTTCTAAGGCAGATAGCAATTAGAAATGTTGTACACAACCCAAATCGACCAGTCTGAGTTCAAATATATTATTTCCAAAATGGCTGAACTTTCGTAACTCCTTATTTTTATTGCATTTTTGAATTCTCCTCTTTAATCTGGGTAAAATGTACCTAGTTGTTAGTACTTATCTGTCATAGTTTTTGACATATGTCAATTTTTTGGTCAAAATTTTCATTTGCAGAAGTTCATTTAAAACATCACAGCTCTTGAACCCTTTGCGATAAGTAAATATTTTTTTTGCATTCGATGACCAAAGGTTCGAAGAGTTTTCTAGATTTTTAAAATTATTAACTGTCAAATTGCAAGGCTAGTATGTTTTTTTGAAAATGATCATTAACAAACACCTATAACTCAATTTTTTAAAATATTTTCTCAACGGCAATTAAAAGTACATCAATTGCAGAAGGACTTTTATCAACATGTTTCATACCTATCTCTTCCAGTTTTTGAAATAATCACGAAAAACATGTTGTTGTTTTTTGCTTTTATAGTTAATCGCGTAGGTTTTGGAAAAATACAATAAAGATATGCCATAATTAATACAAATGTCAGATATGTTTAAAACTCGATGGTGAACTGATTGAGTGGCTTTCATTATTTCATTTGGTTGAAGATTATTAAATACCTATTAATTTTTTACATTTGTATGAATTTAAAGCACAGAAGGTTCCAAATTTGTTTTCTGGTATTAATCTTGCCTCACATATCTACAACCTCGGAATTCATTTAATTTCTCGTAGTGACAAGCCGCTCTATTTATTAAGAAACGACTCCACATTACGCAAATCGAGAACTCAATTTTTACATAAATTTAAGCAATCTTCGTTAAATAACACCAATAAAATTATGAAAACACTAAACTCAAAAATAAACTTTTAATATTTTGTACAAGAATAAAAACTCTATAAAGTAAGATATTTGAGTCTAGTAATGTCCATAAGCACCAAGACCCAAACCATGCAAGGGGGCGGCGACCACAGCTTTAGCCACGGGGGCGGCAATTATAGCCTTGGCAGGGTGGATAGCATGTCCAGACCGTTCAACCACAGCGTTGAAACCGTTATGATGGTCGGCGGTGTAATGGACGGTTCTGTGGGTACCATCTGGGTCAACCACGGAGTAGGAACCTTTGACGACGTCCCCATCGCGGGTTTCGTGCTGCGACTTGATATCGCCAGTGTGGTGGTCCTCTACACCGTAGCTGAAGTCGTACTTGGGGTGGGCCTAAAAATTTTTTCAAAAAAATCAAAATTTGAAGTACTTTTTCATGCTTCTTACATATTGCTCTACTGCGACGGCGTGTACAACGGGGGCGGCGTGTACAACGGGGGCGGCGTGAAGTAGAGGAGCGGCGTGCAGGGCGGGGGCAGCGTAAGACAAGCTGGAATAGGAGCTACCGTGCGAGGCGATCAAAGGGGCGGCATGTGCGGTGTAAACGGGGGCGGCGATTTTGGCGATGGGGGCGGCGACAGCCCCGATGTGTTGCGAGAAGGAGGCGTACGAAGTGGCGTGGCCATGTTCACCCAAAGCTTGGGCACAAGCCACCAACACCGCGATGCCAAAAACCTACCAAAAAAAAATTATTTTGGTACCCAAATTTTGAAAAATAAGTACCTTAACGAACATGTTGTTGAAAAGTTTAAGAGTGGACTGACTTGGAGCATCCTCCACTTGTCTTTTTATACTTTTGGAGCACATTCACTGTCAATGGAAACTGGACCCTGTGGCATACCGGCTCTGGGTTGTGCAAATTGACCCAGATCGGGATTTTGGGTACTTTGAAAGTCAATGGGTTGAATGAAAGGCCATAAAAGGGTCGGTGATTCAGAGGGTTTTTGCTCGAGAAACAATACTCATAAATTATTGATTTTTGTAAATGAAAAAACATTTTGTAATGAGTGATATTTAATTCTTTGGTTGCGGTACCATTTCTTATATAACCTTTCAGATGAGCTTGATTTTTTTGCAGTTCCATCGATTTTGAAATTTTATATCATTGAATTATAATCAACAACATTATTGTTTGTTTCGGAAGTGGCCTAATCTTGCTATTGACCTTAGTACCACTGACATTTTCATTGTAGTAATTTCGAACGAGTTTATAATACTGGTACCACCTTCGAAATGTCAATGTCTTCGATCTAAAAATAGACTCATCGGTGCATCAATTTCCAGAATGATCAGTTATTAAACTAATTAATTCATTTTTGATTGCTGAAATTGGCACTACCGAATTGGTCAAACCAGTGGGTGCGCCTTGCGCTACTGTCTTATCGGAAGTATTGTACGTTTGGAAAAAATCTGTACCACTTTATTTATTAAGTAACGATTTCGTAAAGTCGTTAATTCACAAGGACACGTTACTGCAGAAAGTGTGAATTCGTTAAAAGGGATCTAGTTTTTTACCTAATTCCTTGATTGGAGTCAAGGCCACGACGATTGCATAACTAAAAACACCGCTTAGTGTAAGTGATTGCTTCCGGTACTCTCTTAATGCAATTTGTATAATTGCAGTAGAGAAACAAAATTTCTTGAATCTTGGGAAAAATATGTTTGGTGGTACTATTAATTTGCATTACAAAACCGGTTGAGGTTTAATTAAATAGTTAAGTGGAATTCTAGAAGCAATTTCATTGATAACAATATTTTTCGCTGAACTTATGTAATTTTGTCTGCGATTGTGGTACCACTAGCCTTATTTTTCAACTGTTAGACAATTTAAAAAAAAAAAAATTTAATTTGTGTTAACAGTTGTTGAAATTTGTTATTTTGGAGTGTCACAGGACTTGCCACTTTGTTTATCATTGTTATAGTCGAATAAAGCAATAAAATAATATAAAAAATAAATTTATTTCATCATTATAAAAAAACAACAAAGTGAGAGTTAATGGTGGATGGGTACTGCCAAGAGAGCCTTGGTGACATGTTGGGGATGGGCGGCGTGTCCTTCTCTGTGTACCACAGCGTTAAACCCATTGTGCTTATCGGCGGTGTATTGAACCTTCAAGATGGTACCATCGGGTTCGTGGACGGAGTACTCACCCTTGACCACATCCCCATCTCTGGTTTCTTCCTGCGACTTGATATCTCCAGTGTGGTGGTCCTCAACTCCGTATTTGAAGGCGTATTTTGGATGGGTCTGTCGAGTACCTACATTAGTACCATACCATAAATGTGTGAATGGTACTCACGTGGTAGTCTACAGTGTGATGGGCTTGTTGTACCAACACAGGAGCGGCATGAAGGGTGTGCACAGCTACAGGAAGGGTGGCTTTGACCAAAGCCTGGATTTGGTGGTGTTGTTGGTGTTGGGTGACAGTGGCGTAGGAAGTGGCCTCGCCGATGGGGATGGCTTGGGTGTACAAAGCCATCAAGGCGAAAATGGCAATCTGTAAAAATTCAAATTAAACAATTACTACAAACAAATGTTTTTTATTACTTTGGAGAACATTTTTGGTTGTTGCTGGAATAGATTCGAACTGATTTTACAACTCTGAAATGGCGCTTTTATATGCGAAAAAGTACTTACACATTCACTATTTTGACTATGGTTCGAATTGTTTGGAATTATGTAATTTGCCTAATCTGTACGTTTCTAAATGAATTTCTGCATAAATAAAAAATTAATTGTGCGCTTATCTAAGACTCGATTAGCACAGATAAGGCGGTGTCGCCTACTTTTATAAAGGGTTTTTGTAAACCTTATGTGAAAAAACATAAGAACATTTTAAAAATTCATTTTTTATTTTACACTTAGTTTTGTATTTTTGCATTACTTTTCTACAGTACCTATGTCCCCGGATTGAGTTTACAAGAGGAAAATTTTACGCCAAAACTGCAAAGGAAAAACATTTTTTTGCTTTACTTGAAACGAGCAAATCTGTAATTAAAACTTCATTATTCTAATTCAGTAGAAAGAAAAATTTATTTTTTTGTTGATTTTTCAATTGATAATTTTTCTCTGCTTTATTATTCCTATCATATTGGCGGTTTTATTATTTTGACAACGATGTCACTTTGACAAATGAGTTTACGCAAGTTAAATAACAAAAACTGGGGTAAAAAATATAATTTTAATAAACGGAAACTCAAAGAAACAGCTTTAAGATAAAAAACAAAGTCATTTTTAACAAGAACTGTCATTATTTAATTAATAAATTAATTGTCCAAGTGACATATTGTTGTCAAATAAATAAAACCGCCAATGTGATAAGACTTAAAAAGCAGAGAAAATTAAGAAAAATAACTTTTCTTTTTACTGAATCAGCATAATGAAGTTCTAAGTATAGATTTGCTCGTTTCAGATAAAGCAAAAAATGTGTTTCCTCTGCAGTTTTGGCGTAAAATCAAAGATAAACAATTTTTTCCTCTTGTAAACTCAATCCGGGACATACTGTAAATCAAAAGTTTTGTGTGAAAGACTAATGCATTGAAAACTCACGTAATTCAGCAGTGAAAAAAAATTTTTGCTTTTTTTGAGCTATAACTTACTTAAATCGTATTTTGTCAAAAAAGCCGAAAAATTTTGGTTTATGATTTGACAAATTCTGAGGACTTAAACTTTTTTTAACCTGAAATTCTTTTAACTCAACATTTTTTTCAAAACTGTTAAAAACGTCATTTCAGAGTGTTCTAAGGGATTTACTTAGTTTATTTTTAAACGAGAAGCAATCCAGAAACTTGTTCTTTTAAATTGAGAAATGCTTTTTTATACAATTCTCAGATATGTAGCTTGTTTTTGAGCCATAAAATGCTTTGAATTTAACAGTGTTTTCTAAAATAAGCTCAAAAATTTAGTCTGAATACTAAAAATTTACTTAATTCAACAGCTTTTATTAGAACGAGCTCAAAACAATGGTATTTCAACAGACTTTTAGTTTTTGTAGCTTATTTTTTTTTGTTTTTGAGCTATAAACTAACTTTATTTATCAGTTTTTCAAGAAAGAAGCTAGATAATTATCATTTATGATCTGAATAAAGCAATTTTGACAAATCCTGAGAGATTTAACGTTTTTTTAAACCAAAGACTCTTTCAATTTAATTTATAATGCCAAACCAATCCCAAAAATTGTCGTTTTAAGTCTAAAAACTTTATTTCAAACAACTCTAATCGATTTATCTTATTTTTGAGGCAGAAACTTGCTGTTTTAAAACTGAATGCTGTTTTCTTGAACTTTTTCTTTTTAGTGTTTCAAAAAATGTTGTTGTAAGTAAATTAATTGTATTCTAATTCTTAGACCAAAATCATATTTTGTGACATGTTTTAAGTTTTAAGATTTTTCTTTATTAAAAATATTTTTTAAATAATTTGTATGTATAAAAAAGATTTAGTTTTTTTAAAAGTTATTTAGATTTGTTTAAAATTTCTTTAAAATAGTGTTTATTGATCT